TCCTCAATATAAGCCAACCAGTATGTAGGATTTGACAACTACAAAGGACCTTAGAGTCTATCTTGAACCAATGAGAATCCATCGTTTATCTTGTTACAAGCCCGTAAGAATGGTTTGGTAAAACAGAAAGAAAGAGCCCAGATAAATCCTAACTGATCTACACATACAAAAGTCTGCTGTACAGGGCGCTTGGTGGTTCAGTCATTAAGCGTCTGCCTTCGGCTCAGGTCATGATCCCGGGGTCCTGGGATCAAGTCCCACATCGGGCTCCCTGCTCGGCGGGAAGCCCACTTCTCCCTCTCTCACTCCCCCCCTGCTTGTGTTCCTGCTCTCGCGGTCTCTGTCAAATAAATAAATAAAATCTTTAAAAAAAAAAAAAAAAGTCTGCTGTACACCTACCATCCCAGTACTGTTAAGTTAGGAAATCCAACAGCAAGCATGCATCCCTAAACTACCTCTTAAACTGGTAGAGCCAGTTCAGAACTGAAGAACCAGAATACGTATTAAATCAAAGAAAAAGAGACTATGTTGAGTAAGCCATGCACAGAAGACTAGTGGCAGGAAAAAGGTGAAAGAAAAAGTAGCCAAGCAGAGCTGAAACAGTGTAAATGCAAAACAGGCTGGGTTGCTGATACCGAAGCTGCTCTAAAGGTTGTACGCCCACTCACCAAGCCAACTGAACAGCAAAGAGATCAGATCCAGCTTCTAGTTTTAAAACTTACTATCAACTAGCCTAATCCAAGTCTAAAATAACATCTTATTTCAAAACAGACACCTATCTCATTGTCTACCTCTAGGTTACCTGTCACAATGTCCAGAGCTCCAGGTAAACGTTAGGGATGGAGAAGATGGGCTGAATAGTGACAACTTGGGTGTTCTGGAGCATTAATATCCAAATACTTCAGACTTAATTTTACTCTAGATTATTTCTGGATGAAAGCCAAGGCCAAAAAATTAGCATGTGAAAACATGTATAAAAAATAGGTAGAGATCTTTTTAAAACTAGCTGACTTTAGAGAACAAATTATTTTCTATTTTAATTTTACATAAAAAACTTTCAAAATGGAACAGGTTTGTATTTCTCATCCAGTCTTAAGTCTGTTCTTTTGTACACCAAGTTCTAAAGTTACCTGCCAAAATCAATTTAAAATGTGATTCCAACTACAAGTTCTAGATTTTATTATGTTACGGAAGCACATTTACTAAATGCTCATTATTTATATGAGGTTCTAAGTACTAGAAGATTAATGTGTTCTCATTAGTGCTCACCACAATCTTCACAAAACAATGAACAGTGATAGATGAACCCCAAAGCCTGTATTTAACAATTCTATCTCTACCACCCAATGGTAGTAACTATTTTATTCCCACATTTATTTAAAAAATGACAGTTCGTCACTATCGTCACTTTAGGGGCTATATGGCTTTAATCTAAAATTAGATCTTTTCCATTTTTATTCATGGTTTTTTATTCCTATAGAGCAACCTCACCCACAATTCTCATTCCTGAGTCCACCTATTTGATGAAGGTAGTTATAAATATGGACTGGAGGAAGGCTAGGAAAAAAATCCTGTGTTGGATTAACTCTGAAGCATTCACTGTGTATTGTTTTTAATCTATTTTCACTGGTCAAAACAAATTTGACTGCACATTTAACATTACTTGTACTGTAATTCTGTGAGAACGTCTTCATAATGAGAAAAATAACAACACTTAGAGGGTAAAAGGGTATGATGACGGGCGCCTGGGTGGCTCAGATGGTTAAGCGTCTGCCTTCGGCTCGGGTCATGATCCCAGGGTCCTGGGATCGAGTCCCACATCGGGCTCCCTGCTCCTTGGGAGCCTGCTTCTCAGAGCCTCTGCCTCTCTCTCTGTCTCTCATGAATAAATAAAATCTTTAAAAAAAAAAAAAAAAGGGTAAAAGGGTATGATGCCTGCATCTTTGTCAAATAGTTTAGAAACAATGTGTATATGTATGCATAAGAATATAGGGCTATGTAGCATAATCAATAACTGTATTTTCAGAATCAGAGTTACACTATCATGTCTTAGTTTAAAAACTGCCTTCGTGGAAGGGTCATCCTCACTTGAAATACTCTCAACAGGTGGCTTTTAGTGTTTTAAACCCTTTAAAAGGACTTCCATGGCTTGGCCTCTTCTATCTCCATCCATTCTTTCAACACCTTGAATGTACCCCAGATTGTCCTACTTCAGGACTTTCAGTGTGTTTCCTTCAGTACCTTCACCTGAACTGCTCTCTGCTCAAAGGATCCATCCTTCACTAAACAAATTCCTACTCATCCTTGAAATCCCAGCTAAAAGCTGTCATGTAAGTTTTTAGTCTTCTCGTAGAAACTACTTCACCAATTCATGAAAAATTTATCAGAGCCACAACTGCCTAACCTCATTATGAAGATCAAAATTATGACTATCAATAGCGTTAACTCCTGAAATGAGCTCTGTCAACCTCTGGCACTTTTGATCACTCATCCCGAAGTTCCTCCTTGGTTTTTTAAGTTTAAGCCACACAAGAACTAAAAACTACTTTTATCTTAAGCAACATTTTCTCCTGAGTTTCAAAATAAAAAAACTCAAAACAAGTAATTAAGAGATCTACAAAAGCTACAAAGTGTCAATTTCCAATATGAAAATTAAGCAACTGGATTAATGACTTATTTCCTGCTGGCAATTTATTTCTAAATTGTTATGCTCCATTTCTCATCTTACACTTAAGATAATTAGTCAATGCCTTAATTTTTTTTTAACTGAAAAACCTAAAAGTACATAATGATGTCAAATGGAAGAAACACAAGATACAAAGTATATTGTATTTTTTGAAAATATAATTAATACATCAATTAAAAATTTCTCATGGATAAATACTCCTCCTTTAGGTAATTTCATACTCCAACAAAGATGTTTCCGTTTCTCAGAAGTCACATAAGTGATCCCTAAGAACTTGGTTTTTTAATCCAAGTTATATTCTGACACCTGGATTTTTAAACCAGTATACAAATCACCACTACACATCTGTAAGTTAATTTCACCATTATCATTTACATTTACTTTTCAGCTATTAGACTTAGTGCTTTAAGTAGCAAATTACCTAAATTATGAACACATATTTTCAAAACAAAATCCAGGTCACAATTACCAAGTATATACAGTGCAGAAAATTAAAAAAAAAACAAAACCTAAAGTAGCATAGGATTTCTCTTTCCTAAGGTTCCTATTAAGAACATATACTTCTAAACTACCTTTATTCTGTACATTTAAAATAACATTCAGCTTGACTTAAATAGTCAAAAAATATAAAGACTAAAATTTTTGTAAGACTAACCCTTAATGGACTCAAATTCTAAACCAAGCCCTGAAACCAAGCATTCAAAGAATATCTGAATATTAGTTTAATATTTCTGCATTGTACGATAAGGTTTTCACAAACAATAATTTAAAGTTTTATTTTTATTTTTAATAATGGTAATGGTGTACAACGCAGATAAACCCACAAATTCATACTGTCTTACAAACAGCAGTAATATGAACAATTAATTCAGTTATCTTAGGGGTCTTATTATACACCAATCAGTATCATTAACCTATTCACATTATAATGAAAATATTTCTATCAAAGCTAATGTCTCCCTTTCAGGTTTGTTTTTATTATATGAGCTAAAAAGGAAACAGAGGTAGAATCCCATTTTTCTTATTACTCTGTAAGCCAGTTCCACACATTTTTATGTCACAGAAATATTAATACTGCTTCAGTGAACTAGATAAAAGAATTCTGAAAAATTACATAAACTTTCAGACATCTGTGTTAAACTAAATTAACTATGTGATTTATGAAACTATCGTTCTGTTTACTTACCATATTTGAATGACCATAAAATGACAGTAAAAAATTTTCAAAGTATTAGTTTATATAGGGGTGATTATAGGAGATTCTGCCATTTCTAGAGAGAAAAAATAGAACTTCTTGGTAATCTGTGCCTGAGTTAAGGGAAACTATAAACTGAAAATGTAAAGACAAAATTCAAAGTGTCTCAAAAATGTCTATAGTTAACTCAGAGTAAAAACCCTTCTAGTCTTCCAATAACAAACTCCATTTAGCAGGGCTTGGGAGGTTCCTTTTAAAATTATACAAATTTACAGGCCATCCTGGCTTAAGCACAGAATAGCCTACTCTAAACATCTCTACTCTTCAAAAAAAAAGTATATAGAAATATATTCACATTTTTAAAAAAAACACCCAAAATATCACCAGTACATTTTATAAAATTAAATGCAAATTTTATTAAGGATTTCAAATTACATATTTCAAATTTCTAAAATGGAATAGAACCATTTTGGAACTGGAGAGATGGCATAGATGAACACTGATATCCCTTGCAATGCCAAATTTATTAAGAAAACAATTCCTCTACAAACCACATCCCTTTATATAACAAGATGAAATAGTATCGGCCCCTTCACTTTGGCAATAGCTATTACCTAAAGGAATGAAAAAAAAAAAAAATAGTGGTTCTGCTACTTAAGTTCATTAAAAATGGGATTCTATCTTTAAATTTTTTTAAGTTCAGAAAAGGCTGTGATCAAATGAGCTATGGGTACAAAAACAAAAATCAGCAAAGAATGTCTAATCAAAGCAACCAAAAGCATTTTCAAAATAAAGAGGAAAAACATAAGGTGTTTTCATGGCATTTTTTTCCTACACACTACTGCAACTGGTTAAGGATTTCCAGTAGTTAATTAAAATCTCAGAAGAGGAATGAACAGTATTACACAAATAACAAGATGTGTTCACATTCCAAGATCTTTAAATACTAAATTTTCAAAAAGGAAGCTCTATCACTTCTAAAAACAATGTAATTTTATTAAGAGCAGGAACTCTAGGACATCCTCTAATTATAATCCATTTAGTCCACCCTCACTGTCAAAGCTTTTAAGCTCATCACAAAAAATTAACAGTAATTAGCCTGAGGTATTTTAAATGTGGCTCTACAGACTCAAATTTAATGGCATTTCCCCCCAACTAAAAATGGTCTTCTTCCTATGTTAGTCCCATGATCTCTGTAGTATTTTACTACAATATGGTCATAACTAAAATACCTAAAAACAATCCTTGGACCTTTTCAAAGAGTTGCTCTTCTAACAGCTTCTATCAAGATAGGAGCCACACAAAGATCTGCAAGAATGTTGCCTGACCAGATCCAGAATAGAGGTACTTAAACCTTTGTTTTCCAGTTGAATTATCAAACCCTGGTGTGAATAAAATGCTGAATATCATACTTGTGGTACAAACAGGTCCAAATTTTTGAGCTTTTAATGAGATCGAGAAACATTTCATAAAATCTAACTTAATATGCCTTAACAGATCTGTGAGGTAGTTAGGTAAACAGTACTACCCATTTTAATACATAGTAAACAGAAGCATGGGTAAATGACATACTCATACTTTAAAAGCAGTAAGAATCGGAATGAACCACAGAAGCTTGGGGCCTTCTCTCTAGCTCTAATCAAAGGAAATAAAATTTTAACCTTTTAATGTTTTAAAAAAACATTACATCATTTAAGATTTTGTCTTTCTTTTTTATACTTTCTTAATGAGCAGATGTAGTACCTCTCCCAAAGTTGACACACTTCTCTTCCGTAATATGGTCAACTGGGTACAATGCTTAATTCAAGCTAGGCCTCTGCTACTACCTGAATTAGTACAAAATTAAGACATTATCTTGTGAGAACTAAAATTATATTTGACATTTTTATTTTAGGCTGCAAAAACAAAAACAAGCAAACAAACAATAACAAAAAAACTTGAAATAGGCTTGTCAAATGATGTAAATTCATCCTTTCCAGGGAAGCAGAAGGTAGACCCTACCATAAAGAAAAGATGCTTAGTTAATGGAAATTAAATTTAAAAGTACTGTTAAAATAACGAGGCTTAACTTCTGAAAATAGGTTTTATTCACTTCCCTACAATAACCAATAACCACACTATGAGTTAGGTTTCTTTACTATGGTTTCCTTACTAGGTTTCTAACTACGTCACCTAAAATACAAAAATCCATTAATAATCTAAGTTATCAGTTGTGGTCTTACTGGAAATTCTTAACCATATATTTGTCTCAACAAGTTTTGCTTTTGTTTTTTAAATGAGGAATTGTCTTAGTCTAAGTCACTGCATTTCTACAACAAAGTAATGAAAGGCACAGCTAGTGCAAGCAAACGTAAACCCAATTCAACTACCAGCTGAAAAAAATACTTTGGTTCTTCAGGAAAAAAACTAGCAAAGCAAAAAAAAAAAGTTTAACAGTTCTGTTCATTTTCATAGCTGTAATCTAAAATCTTTGTTACATGATAAAAATTACTCCAGAAGAACCAAACCATGTAGTGATGAATGAACATGCGTGAAAGAATTTGTGCAATCAATAGATCTGGCAGAAAAACTAGAGTTGAAATGATAAGTAGAACAAATTGGTCTTTAAAATTATCAGTTCCTTTCCTTTAAAAAAAATTACTGAGTCTACCAAGAAAATACAAAAACATAAGGCTCTAAGTAAATAATAGTTGTGTTTAGGCTATTACAGTGCAGGTTATCCTCAAGGCCACATACATCCTGCTTCACTGCTGCTTGCACTCTGCTGGGTTTTGATCCTTCTGTTAAAGGAAAACAACAAGTCAATCTATCTTTTTCTACCTGCTTCAGTTAATTTTCAACAGTAATTATCGTATATTATCTCAATGTTCTACCAAAATTTTTGCCAAATTAAAGAAATAGTATAGCAAGGATGGCAAATTATATATTAAAATATTAGCAAGTCACAAAAATCCTAAAATTAAGGCCCAAATTTTACATTGTGGAATGAACTCCATAAAATAACACACTAAACCATAATCTTAAAAAATAACAAAGCAATTTATGTTAGTCATATTACCAATTATTTTTGCCTTTTTATAGATCAATTACAAGTATTCAAACATACTAATTCATACCCTTTAGAATAATTAATTTGATTTTTAACCACCCCTCTCTTACCTGCTCACTAAAGTATCTTCCGGATCTTTTACAGTAATTAGCAAATGAACGAATGCATTTAACAGAAACCAAAAGTTTCAAATGAATCCTGATAATGTACTATGTATTTTCGGGGAGATAAAGGGCTTTACTAACCCTGATATGACAAATACCCAAGAATGACAGATCAGGAGTCTCAAAGAACAGAGGTGGTTGGGAGAACGTAACAAACAATACTGCTTCCCTATTCCCAAACACTGCTGCAATCAGATTATTTAAAAACTGACCTTTGTTTATAAAGCTATCCTTTGGAAGGAAAACCTAAGAACACAAGCAGTTAAGGAATTTCAAATGCTTCTAAGGGGTGCCTGGGTGACTCAGTCAGTTCAATGCCAACTCTTGACTTAGGCTCAGGTCATGATCTTAGGGTCCTGGGATCAAGCCCAGAGTTCTGCCCCGCCCCACCCTGCCCCCCTCCCCCTCAGGCAGTCTAAGGCAGGGAATCTGCTTGAGGACTCCCTGCTCGCTCACTCTCTCTCCCTTTCCCTCTGCCCCCCCCCCCACATCTTTGAAAAATAAAATGCTTCTAAAAAACTGTTAAAAAAAAAAAAAGCCCAGGGCACCCTGGTGGCGCAGTCGGTTAAGGGTCTGCCTTCGGCTCAGGTCATGATCCGAAGGTCAGGGTCAGGGGTTAAAGCCAGGCATCGGGCTCTGTTCAGTTGGGAGCACACTTCTCCCCCTCCCTCTGCACCACCCCCACCTCGTGCGTGCTCTCCCTCTCAAGTAATAAAATCTAAAAAAAAAAAAAAAGCCCAAGACAATGTACACTAAAATAGAATCTTAGGGTTTATTTAGCCTGAAACTAAGTAAAATACAAAGTCAGAACCAAAAATAAAACTTCTCAGGAAATGTGCATTGAAATTTCATGTACTGTTGAAATGCCAGTGGGGATTAAAGTGGACTATACATTCATCTCCAGGCAATAGGATTTATTAAAGAGTTTAATGGACAAAAATAAGCTTTATATTAAGAAACATCAACTCTTATTTAACCTGCCTTAAATTTAATAGAACGCAGCACTAATTTTGCTCACCTTTGAGTCATAGTCTGGATCATTTTCCTCATCTCCTTCTTCTTCCCCTTCCTATATTAAAGTTCAAAATGCATCCATGAAGTAGGTACACAGTAGAAAGAAATGGCTCATAACGTATGGAGAAATTTTAATACAAGTTACTCTATGGGTCAAAAGATTTTCATGATTACAGAGTAGGGTGAAAATGCAATTTAATTGAAAGCTTCTAATATGAAAAATTTCCCAACACAACTTGAGACATCCAGAGAGCTTTTATTGAAAAGATTTACTGCAGCCAACGTTGAAAAAGTTTACTGCAGCTTTTGACTTCTTCAAAGAGCTGATAACCCTGCAGCAGAACAGAATTATTTGAAATAAAAAAAATGTTCTGAGTTTTGCAATTTATTTATTGAAACCTCATACATACATTGTTTGGCTGTAGAATTCTAAAACCGTATTTTTTTCCAAAAGGTTTATATCCCGTATCACAGAATGATTATAGCAAAGGAATACATAAGTCACTCAATTTGCTTCTCAATGTGTTAAACAGAATTATTTGCTCATTTGGTAAACATTACCTCATCTGCTTCTTCACCTTCTTCATCATACTAAAAAGGGAAAAAAGGATGAAGTTTGAATGAAGCTAACAAACATTTGAGAATAGCATTAGTTACAGCCATCTTGTCTCCACTAATATCTAAAAAGAGGAAAATACTTTCCTCAAGGCAATTAATTATAAATTAAATGGCTGCGGGAATCAATTCAGGGCCGTTATCTAAATCTGACAATTTTAAAAGTTAAAATAAAGAATACAGTACAATTGTGCGTGTGATCATACAACTATTACTATAAATATTACTTGCCTGTACTTATGCAAACACACAGCACAAAAAGGCCCTAAATCTATTTGCATGACTGACATTTAGCAATAAAGGTAGCCAAAATATTTGAGGGCAGCCTAGTTTTACCTTAATTGTTGCTTAATATTCCTTTGGATAAAAATTCTATGCTTCCTAGTATTTTTAAAAGTAATAAAAAATATCTTAGACATGTTTTGTTTGGTCAAAGACAAGAGCATAATACATCTACAACACTGACCAAACACAGTAAAGCTGCACTAATTCAGAGCAGTCTTCCTATTAGCAGGAAAATAAAAGCTACCAAAGATCCTAAGAAGACATATTTAAAACAATTCAGGAAAGTTATCTATAGAACATCAGTAATTAGCCTTTGAATTATTCTGTTTTTTAAAAAATTACATCTGTTCGTTTAACTGCTCACCAGCTGTGACCATCATACCCTCACCAAATGATCTCACTGCAGGATTAAGATTCACTCACATCATCATCATCATCTTCGATAGCTTCTCCAGTAAAGTATAACACTGATCTTGGGATTATACGCTCACGTAAAAAGTGACCAATTTCAAAGTCTGCAGCAAGGATAGCTTCAGCATCATCATCCTGTTTTGTTTTGTTTTGTTTTTAAGAAAAAAAAAAGGCACAAAATTTAATAACTGTTAATTAGGCACATGCAAGACTCTTGGGTTTAAATTCTATGAAACAACATTCAACGTCACTTTTAACTTTCTGTCATTTTAAAATTAGCTTATGTGTGTGATTAAACAGTCATCGATATATACCTTAGGTTTAATAAAAAGAAAGCTACCAAGTCAGTGTACATACTCAGAGAAATTTGGGAAAATAAAAATCAGAACTGGTTATTGCTTAGTTTTTTGACTTAAAATATAAAAGCAACTTTGTTACATGACTTTAATTTTCTTATAAATATTCATTATTGAAAACACCAAATGGAACAATACTAAGAAGGAATCTCAGGACTTATATAATATTAGGCATACGGCACATAATGAAAGAACACGGAGGATCACTCACATTTCCTTAAAGATAGTACAGAAGCACTTTTTTGTATGCATAATGCCAAATGAGATAGAATCCTACTTAATACTAAGTCAATCTAAGATTTCTACTTAATGACAAAGCACAACACAGAAATGGTGCTGACATTTTTCAAAATTCAAATAATCCCTTTAAGTTCCATGATACCAAACAATGAGTAAACATTCCATGAGTATTTATTTCGATTCATCAACATAATCCACTATAATGAAGAGCCAAAAAAACACAAAAGGGGGCAGTGGACTTTGAGGGAAAGACCTGTAATCACAGGTGGAGGTGTTCTAGCTATAACTACTCAAGACTGTTTTCTTACCATAAATATTTGACAATAGAATTTAAAAAAGTCACTTCAACACAAACTCCCAACCCACTCACTGACTTGAAAACAGCATGAAACTCTACTACAGTGTTCTCAAGTAGTTCTACCTAAAATTCAGGTGCTGCTATATAGTCCCCTTTTTTGTCCCACAAACCCTGCTGCAGGGTTGAATCAAACCACTTACCACTCTTTACAGGCAGAAATACTTGCCTTTTACAGATCTGGTCTTAGCCTTAGCCAAAACTATTCCAATTCAAGTGTTCAAAACAAACATACCTTCTAATTCCATATGTACAAAACTACTAAACTCTCGGAGTTAAAAAGTTAAAAAATCTGGCCAACAGAAGAGCAGATTCAAAACCTACGTAGCTTACATCCTGCCTGCACAGCATTCCAGGCTGTGCACAGGCACCACTGCAGCTCTTGGCTCATACGGTCACATAACAACACATGGCCACAATACGAAACCATGTTTCCACTGGAATAAAAAATACAGAGAGTTCTAACCAAAATGTGGTTAGGAGTTTTAGTAAATAAATAGTACAAATGATATATTTAATACATACTAGTTTCAGTAAGAAAACTATCATCTTAAGAGCCTGAATCCCCCCAAAAATAGTTCCAAGCCTCCAAAGAAAAGCCTTTAGCCTCTCAGCATTTCTCAATGGAAGCACTACAGGCATTCTGAATGAAATAATTTCAGATGCATAAAGGTCTTCTCCATGCATTGCAAGCCTCAGAACAAATTTCGAGTAGCAACTATCCAACTCCCCACTTCTGAGAACCAATTCTTTAATTTCATAGTGAACAATTCAACAAATACATAACAATTTAACTTACCAGATCTCCACTTTCAGGAACTGCAAAATTGAGAAGAGAAATTCAAATGAGTAAGAAATTAAAGAAAGCTTATAATAAAACAACCATTAATACCCAAACTAAAACACTATTTACCTTCAGGAGGGGCAAAAAAATTAAAGAAAGAATCATTGGAAACTGTTTTGGTCACAGTACGAACTGTCCCACGTCCCTTGTGTTTCTGTTTCTTCTTAATGGTTTTCAAAGTGACATTCTTTCCTTTTTTCCAATCTATCTGGCACCTTGCAAAACAAAGGGAAGAATTTATCACAATTATCATACTATGCTTAATTGCTGGAAGAGCAATTAAGTACTGTATTTATTTTTTAAAAAGATTTTATCTTATAGAGAGTGAGCGAGAGAGAGAAGAAGAACAAGAGCACATGCGCATGAGCAGGGGGAGGAGCAGAAGGGGAAAAAATCTCAAGTAGACTCTGGGCTGGGACCGGAGTTCCATCTCACAACCCTGAGATTATGACCTGAGCCTAAACCAAGAGTCGGAAGCTTAACTGAGCCACCCAAGTGCCCCAAATATTATTTTTAATTACAAATTTTAGAGGGAAAAAATGGCTCACATGCTTTTGATAGCAATATAAAGAGAAAATTTTATTTCTAAACACATTTTTCTATAAATACATTGACAATTAGCAGAAATTCACAATACAATAAATTGAAGTGTGTTCTCCTTTGAAGAAGTGTAATACTATAAGCCAAATAGAATTCCAGGAAAATAGGTGTGCTCATCTAAGAAAACACTTAATCTGAAATGTTTAGAGATAAACTATGTATCAAGTATACACTAGGAAATACCAAATATCACAAATCACAAGTAAAACAAAAAAGAATATTCTGTGAAAGTAGTAAAATTAAACTCACCCTGTACAACCCATAATTTCTGGCCCATCGAAAGAAAAGGGATCAGAATCATCTGGTTCTGACCTCATCCTATATGTCTTTGTCAACACTTCATTTGTGAAATATTCATTGGGTTCAAAGTGAAATTCTAAGACAAAACTCTTAAAAAAAATAAAATAAAAAAAGTAAACACTAATGAAGTTCCTACATCACATATATTAAAATTCAATCTGTTGATTTTTATAAACACATAAACTTCTAGGTGATAATGCCTTTCCTATTCTGGGAAAGGGTCAGATAAACCCCAAATTATGTTTAAAGGCAAAACAAGACACAAAATAAAACTGAATAAAACTTAGCTCAGCTTACAATTTCTATTTAGTAACATGTTTATAAAATTGGTTAGAACAACTGAATAAACTGACCAAGTACTCTTTCCTCCTTCCATCCTCACAAAGAGGACTTTAAATCATCTTCTAACCCAAATTTGACAGAGGAACTTTACTACACACAATAGAAGAGTGTATAGTCTATAGTAGCTTTGCCCATACTTCACATAACACTGATGGTTTTTGGGAGAAGCTAGTAGCTGATCTTTCATCATGGGGAAGCGGGGGCCCTCTAACATCTTCTGTTTTATGTAATCCCCAGACACATGCCTTTTAAGACAGAGTAAGTATTTAGGGTGCTATTATTTTTTATCTATTTTTATCAAGGACTTACTATATTTCAAAAACAGTTTTATGTTCAGAGGGAGGAAAAGGAATAAATTCTACATCACAATTACCAACATCCAAACATTTATTGCCTACCAACAATTAAAGAGTACCAAGTATGAGTTTTAACTTCTTTCTCACCCATCCCTAGGCTTAGAATATCACCTTTTTAGAAAGTTCCATATATCTATATCTATAAACATCTAATGTTACAGAACTAAAAATATTTCAAAGTTCTTTTACCATGGGCTGGCCAGCATCTGAGAACTTCACTTTAATATCTTTCAAGTGCTTCAAAATAGGTTCATCATGTTCCTGCAAATTAAGAATATTAAAATGAGTATCTAACATGGCATTTTAGGATCAGTGTGCTATTACTGGACAATAAACATTTAGCTGAGACATTTATAGTGAGGCTTTATGTAACACTTATGAACCATAAGGCCTACTCTCCAGATAATGGCTTATACTAAAGCTAGTTTACTTATAAGCTCTACTTATTTCTACTGGCAATGGTAGAAAAAAAATGACTTAACAGAGAATTACATCATCATCAGACTGAATGGGCTGAAGAATATAAAACCAAGTCTAACTCAGGCATGTTTGCTTTAAAAACATTTCCTTTTCCAGCTGCTTCTTGTTCCTTTCATTATGCTAGGTCCTTTCCTACTTTGCCAAAGTAGAAACGCAGTAAGCAGTCATTGTTTTGAGATTTTTTTTTCTTGCCTTTAACTTTCAACGATCACACCATAAGGCAACAAGTACTATAATGCGCACAGTAGTGGCTCAAGAAATGCTTCTGATTAGGACACAAAAAGTTCCCCAGAAAAAGTGACATCTGTGTTGGATTCCCAGAAAAAGTGACAACTTTAAGAGTTAAAGATCTTTATGTTATTCTTTTAAAATGCAAACGTCCCTTGGAATATTTGTTTCAGACTGAAAAGGTCTTTTTGGGTAAGATAAATGAAATTTTAAGTTTCCTCCCTCCAATCTCTACTACCAAGCACTTAAACACAGAAGACATAAGACTATGACAAAACATTGCTCAATGTAACTGTCAAAGGGCCATTTCATTATGTAATTTTTGATAATGATTTAGAATTTATTACATTCACCAAAGATCCAATTTTCCTTCTACAGGTAACAGGTTTCAAAAGACAGCAATCATTCTATAGAGGTCAATGATGGAGACTAGTCATCCCAGCCATTTAAATTTCAAAGGTTTTTACCCTTTAAAGTAAACTGATGTTTTTATGAGTAAAATTACCTGAACCATATCACTGAGCAAGTCAACGTTCTTAAAAACAGTCAACCAGAATTCAGGAATTCCCTTGGGGTCTTCTTTTTCTTCATCCTTTTTCTCATCTTCAATCTTGGCTTTTTCTTTCAGCTCCTCCTTGATAAATGACAGCATTATGTTACTGAATTCCTAAATCAGACTACTTGATAAGATCTTACCCATCCCCTAACATATCCAGCAGTGAAGTACAGAAACCAACAAATCCTCAATCACCAATTGCAACTTTCAATCAACGAAGTTCTAGTCCAATTGTGTAAACACTGCTGTTATACTCATACCAAACTGTACTTCCATAAATATTGCTACTACCATACCCCTCCAAAAGAGAACCACTAAGAGAGAACCTATGAACTATAGGGAAAGTTTTATAGGAAAACATTTTAAAGCTTCAGGAAAAAAAAATAAAATAAATATAAACTTTGCCCAATTCCTCACCCCTTGGTGTTCTTGATCAAAATATTACGTTCTCCTTATCAACCAACATTAAAATAGCAATGCTGGGGAAACAGAGTCATGTAATAGAACACTGTATTTGTGTCACAACCCTGCCATTTATTAATTGTAGCCAAGTCATTAGAAGCCTCCATTTCATCATGTGAAAAACAAGAACAAACCTTTGCAGGTCATCATGAAATTCAAAGGAAAAGTTTATATAATCTATAAAATTTAAATACTAAAAAATGTAAGGGAAAAATGACTTTGGGTACAGATGGTACCAGGGCTAACAGTGGCTCATCTGTTCTGATTATTGTTAACTCACCATGAATCTTACAATAAAATATTTCTAAGGTATAAAAACACACTAAATTAAAGTTGGTACCAACCGAAATTTCATCCTCCTCATCCGGTTTCCATTCACATTCTTCTTCCGTAGGTTCATAAATTGCATTAATGATCTCAAATCGCTGAAATGATTAAAATAAAAAAAGCTTGCATAAAAACACTGACATCCAAGCCAGAAACTAATTGTTTCTCATTAAAGATGTGTATAGATTTAATGAATGCATACCACAACTTGAATTGCTACTGACAGTTTTCCCAATTACCTCTAATAACCATTTGCTGAGAGGTCTAAAGACTAAACCACCTGCAAGTTTGTTTATATTTCCAGAGCTTTATTATAATCTCAAATTTTAGATAAAGAAAATAAAACAGTAGAAAGCATTACCTTATCAAATAGAGGCTGATAGAGAACAGCATACTTTCTTTCAAGATCATGAACTTCCTCATAGAATTTGGCTTCTATCTGTGCACATTTAACTTGAAGATTTTTGAGAGCATTCACTCGTCTTTTAACTACCCTAGGCAAGCTGAAAGGTTGGAACGCACCAGTTACACAGCATCACAGTAAACACAAGTCACACTTCTATCATATTGAAAAGTAAAGCATAAAAGTTAGTGAATGATAGGTTTCCTATTTGAAGCAAAAGGTATACTCAAAGTAATTAAAATTCAAGAAACATAAATACATGGACTTCTTGACTATAAAATAGTTCAAAAGTGAACATTTAAACAGATACAGTAAGTTGTGATAAGAAAATGTAAATCATATCAACCCTAAATCTTTCATTATAATCAAGTTCAGCATTAGACTTGTCAGTGCTGGCATTTAAGCTGTAAAACAGTCTATCTTAGGAAGTTAAAAAGTCATGGACTGACCATCCTAACTGAGTTGATTTAAAAAAAAAAAAGTAGGCATTATCTCACCCACACCAGCTATTTTTAGGGAAAAGGATATTGTATTAGAAAAAAGGATGGTATCCTACACCATTATTTTCGATTTTAGTCTCTATTTAGAATTTATATTTATATTAAAAAAAGAATGTTGTATTTCATGAAGGGATTTTTAATAACAGCTTTGAGATATAATTCACAAATCATACAATTTACTATAGGGTATAATATAGGCCCCCTGAAGTTATGATTCAACTTATGAATCCCCCTACCACCCAAAAAATGTTCACTCAAAATTTATCTAACTTCAGGGATCTGTACAACAGATACAGAATCCAGGTTAGAATTTCCTGCCATAGGCAGATTGCTGTAAATCAAATAATTTTCTTAGTTAACCACTACTTTATAGTTATGATAATCAGAAGTAAAAAATTATCTACAGATAATTTTTTTTTCTTATAATTAAAAGTAAAAAGTTTGTTTTGTCAAGGTAATGAAACAGCATGGGGTGCTGCCCACCCCCACACTGTACCTCAGAAAAATTCAACCCTAGAAACTTCAGAACCAAGAAGAAAACAACTATTTCAGGGACTCACACACACTCACAAGCACCCACATACTACGAGCAACTTCTGAGTTAAGACTAACAACTGTACAGAGTGAACTGCAACCTGGAAAAGGGAGGGAATGGGCAGAATGGGTAGCAGTGAAGACAGGTTCAAAGAAAGCTTTTGAAATTCTGCACTTGCCTTACAACAGTCAGTGTCTGGCTGAGAGCCTACAAGCACTCATTCCTCCACCTCTCCAATCCAGGTACAATGGATTACAACCAAAGGAGACCGCCTCCTCCCCAAAAGCAGCAAAAACAATTGCCTGGAATTGACAGCAAACTGAGTCTGAAGTAACTGGAGCTCTCCTTAGGTTCATTCCAATCCCTTTCTTAAATACCACTGGGACTGTCACAAACCAGAGCCTGATCTTTATTCTTCCCTCAATAATCATTATTGGGGACTAACTGTTACCAATCAGTGAGCCTGAGCTCTACAGCCAGAGTAACTAAACCCTTCTGGAGTATAAATTTTAATGAAAGAATGAAATATTTATGATCGGAAGCCGTATTATTAGACAAAATAATATAAATATATTTAAAGAGATGAGAGAAGAAACAAGACCAAGAAACCTAAAACAAAGTAGAAATATTAAATATGAAAAATAAAGTAGCTAAAATAAATAAACCAACAAAGAGGATAAACAGGATAGGTTTAACTTAAGGAAGTCCATTAACGTTCAAATGCTCTCCAGAAAGGCAGAGGAAAGACAGAAAAATTATGACTTGGATGACGAAAGTAGCAATAGCTGAAAGACAGAAGGGAGGTGGATATCTGAATAAATGAATAATAAATTTCTCAGAGTTAAAGTAATATGGAAATCCTTACTCTAACCCTTGGGTTAATGAGATTCATGAATATCAAAGACCAAAGAAAATTCTACATGTGTTCAATGAAAAACCTACATAGGAAAAGGAATCTGACATCAGGCTTCAAAAGAAAACACCATATACAAGAAGAAACGAACTTTTATTTAAGAACTCTGCACTTACAATTTTATAAGCCAAACTATTCAAATATGAAGACAAAATAAAAATTGTATGAGGCATATCAGGCTTCAGGAAATATGCCAGAGATACTCAATACATTCATTAAAGATCATTTCTGAGGAAGTTAAAAAAAAATAAGAAATTACTATATAAATACAGGTGGCCAAATATCTTGGTAAATCCTACTGTTGCCTTGATGGAAAAAAAGGCGGACTAGAGAACGTGTATTTATAAATAATACAGACATCACTAAATTTAAGAAATCAATATGGGTAAATAAACTTAGGTATTAGGTTATGAGTCCATTTAACATAATAACAAACAACAGAATGCAGTAACTTTGATACCAGCAGAAGACAACTTGATTTATTTAATGGAAAGCAAAAAAAGAGAAAAGAAACAAAGTACAATAAATTATAAAATAATAACAATTAAGTCCAAAAACAATACTGCTTTCAAGAAATGCAAAGAGTTTAAAATTACTAATAAAGAAGCAAACTTCCATACTAGAGGTAAGATAAAGAATGGAAAAAGACATGCCAGGTAAATAAAAACCAAAAGAAAGCTACAATAGCTATCTTAATATCAGACAAAACAATTTATAACACCACCACCACCACAAAATACAAAAGAGGACACTTTATACTGGTAAACTGGAGGACACTTTACACTGGTAAACTGGAACAAAAGGACAAGATATATACATCACTAACATATAGCTAATAATACAGCTTCAAAATATATTAATCTATAACCAACAGAATTATAGGGAGAAACAGATTAAGTGGAAATTTCGAACCCATTCTTCCCAGAAACTGTTAGATCAAGCAGTCAATCAATAAGCAGAAATAAGAGAACCTGAACAACACAATTAATAAATCTAGGCTACTAATTTCAACATATAGATCTTCACACTTAACTTTCATAGAACATTTAGAAAAACAAATATTAAGACCATAAAAGATAATTTAAAAAAAAATCAAATGAACAAAGCCTCAATTCAAGAAACTGGAGGGGAATGGAGCAAATCCAAATTAAGGGTTCTTAAACTCCAAAGGCCAAAGTCCATTTTTAGAAGAGTTCTACCAACTGTTCAAGGAACAGTTAATTCCTATCTTATACAAATTGCTTTGAAAACACAGGGTGAAAAGTAAAAGCAACCCTGTTTATTCATTAAGCAGCTGAAATCTTGACTCTAAAACCAGGGCATGGAATTACAATCCCATGAAAGTTTCTATATTGTACATACATGCACACATGCATATATATGTATGTGTGTATATATATATACACACACACACAGACACACACAGGCACACATATTCAAGTACATTTCACTAACAAATAAGGACCTTGAATAAGATATTAACTACTTGACTCAACAGTGTAATAATATATGATTAAATTTATTCCAGGAATGCAAGGCTAGTTTAGTATCATGTTTCCAAAAATATTTAATATGTACTTAATAGAGTCGAAGAAAAAGTCAAAAGACCCTCTGAATACATACAGAAAAAAAGGTCATAATAAATCTAAGTAGACACCAAGTTTAATGGCAAGATTTTATATCCATTCCTGGTTAGGACTAGAAATAAGATAAAGATGCTCATGTTTAATGCTAATTGTTTAACACAGTACTGAAAGTCCTGGCCAATGTTATAATGAAATACAAATAAACTTTGTGTGCTGTAATGTGAAAGATTAGAGCTCAAACTGCCATTATTTGCAGACAAGATCTTTTGCCTTTGGGAGAAAAAAAAATTACTGTAGTAAGTGTAGCAAGATTTCTGGATATAAGATCAATAGCAAAAGAAATAAAAAATAAAAATAAATCAATAGCACTCTTCTCTACATCAACAACAGCCAACCTGGAAATACAATAAAAAATAAGATACTATCCACAATAGCAACACAACTAAAGTATACAGGAATTAACCAAGAATAGACTATGAGAAAAACTTCGTAATAAGAGAGAGTATGATTTCAATAAATATAAGGATATGGATGAGACAATTTTACATTAAAAGAAAAATCCCCTATCCATGTTAATCAATAGATTCAATGTAACTCCTATCAAAATTTTAGTGTGGGGGGGCTGTTTTGTTTTGTGAAAACCCCTCTAAACTTACTATCAACCATATGTGGGATAAAGGTCTACATATAATTAGGCCAATCTTAAGAGTGTATTCCATAGGGGATGGGGGACGGGTAGAAGAAAGCAAGTTATTACAGCGAGAAACAAATTAAAGAAAGATTAAATTATCACCCTGCTAGATATTAAGACATACTAAAAAGCCGTATTAAAAAAAGAGTGCTGCTCAAAGACAAACATAGGTGTTTATAAGAAACTGATATGCAATAAAGGTGGTATCACAAATAAATGAGGAAATAATGAACTGTTTAGTTAAGTGTTATAAAAACAAGCTCACTAAAAAAAAAAAAAAAAAAAAAAAAAAAAACCCTGATGCATAGCTAAATACAAAGGTGGCCTCAAGAGGGTTTATTAAAGACCTAAAGATGAAAGGTAAAACTAGTCAACAGGAAATGCAGAAGGAACTAGAAAGGACTTCTTAACTTGAAAGAATAAGCCACAGGTCAAAAAACTTAAAACACAAAAATTAAGGACTTCTGTTTAATGGAGAATGCTATGGATAAAATTAATAAAAATGACAATAGATTACTTACAAAGTCTAAAACTGATAAAGAGATTAACACCTTGAATATACAAAAACTCCTGCAAAACAAGACAGTAAACCCCAATAGGAAAATGGACAATGAGAACAACCTAAAAGGCTCACAATCATGAAGAAAACTCAAAACTCATTAGACAACAAAAAGTACAAATAAAACAAAATAAGCCTGCACCTCTTAGATTGGTAAAAACAAAAAACCCATAAAGCTGAATGATGCCAACTGCTAGCAGAGATACAAGGATAAAGGGTGCCTTCATGCACTGGACACAGTCATTCTAGAAAGCAAGCTGAGAAGTACTTAAAACTTGCATACCCTGTAACTAACAATCCCACCGGTAAGTACATATCCCCCCAAAATTCTTACACAGTTGTTTAAGAGGGCATGCAAAAAGAGGACCATTACAACGGAATTTGTGTTGATGGAGCTTAGAAGCAATCAAGATACCCATCAAAGAAAAAGCATATTAAAAAAAGCATGTAATAAAACATGGCGGACACAAATCACCGTAAGTGACAACAAACATTCAGAAGCTAGAAACTACTGATGAGAGATTACATACAGATAGCAACATGGATGGATCTTAAAAATCATAACAATTATAAGCAGAATAAGATATATGGGCTATTGCAAATGATTTATAGGACCAGTGAAATAAATAAGAAATCTGTATTTCTTCTAATTCTGTGCATTTCTAGCAAATCTCCAAACAAATCTCAGAAATGGTTAAGATCAGTGTACTTTTCCTATGGAGAGGAGTCAAACTTTAAAAGACCCAACTCTAAATTGGTGGTACTCAGCAAAATTTTTAAAATCCTATACTAGATACGAACAGACATTAGCTTTCCACTATTACATATCTAAGTCCTAGATGGTCTTAAAAAGATACACCTGCAATGTTGATTATAGAAGGCTAAATAAGGACTACAGAAAAGAAGAACTTGTACCTTTCAATGTATCCTGTTGGTGTTTCTACCAGACCATCAAGTCTTTCTTGAAGGGCTGCAAGAATCTGAGGATTTTGCATCATCTGAACAGTCAGCTGACGCGCTTAAAAAAAAAAAAAAAAAAAGGGCATCGAAAGAAAGGATTTTATGAAAATATATTATGCTATTTTAATAGGACAATCCAATCATGAAGTTTTCCTGACTAGCCCGTAATTCATTGGTCTGAGTACAGATGGGCAGCAAGCTGAGGAAAATCCACTCTAGGAAAACCTGACGTTCAGGAAAAGTTCAGATTCCTAATGATCTTAACACACGCCATTTCTGAAGACCATTGCCACAACTACTATTAACAATAAATATCCTTTCTCTTCCTACTACTTTGTGTTTCATCCACCTTACATCTTTAAGAAGCTCAAAGCTTCACCCAGATGCCTACCTACGACTCTAACACTTTGAAGGCAGACAATACATTATCGGAAGTACAGTGACGGTTTCGACCCTGGGAAAAAGACTGTGGAGTGAGTAACCTAAATGTTTGTTTGATGTTTATAGTATAGTATGCTTCTGTTTATCAGAATAGAGAAAGTTAATAGTTGAGACAATCAAGGTTGTAACTAAAGCCAAACAAAATGTGGTTGTTAATGATGTCTAAAAATTATACTCAATCCAAAAATCAACTAGATTTAGGCAAAACAAATTATTTTGCTATTATCATCTCCTCGTCAATAGACATTACACAAAAATGACATGAATTTTCCCAGTTATGTTTTTAAAGGTCAATTCCTAATATTAATTTGATTACTGGATGATGTACAGTTATGATAACCAACATGCCTTTAGAAATGTCAATACTGGCCACTAAGGATACTGACCTATGTATCTTTTAAGACAAGGCTGCAAGATGAAAGCTGAAGCTAAAGTTCAGTAGTCTTTTCACAATTAACCTCCATCTGGCTTAACAATGGAAAGCTGAGTCATCTAGTACTTTAATATTCTTAGCCCATACCTATAGGGCATAACCTAAAGCAGTACAAGCCCCCCTACCATCGCTACCTCCCCCTTTATAATTATTTGCTAAAGAAAACTATGAGTGATTTTTGTTTACATTTAATAAATGTCTTTTTTGTCATTTGGTTGGGAAGGATTAAAAAAAGGTTGAAATACACAACTAAATGTTTTCTACATATGAAATACTGAATATTTCCAGTAACTCTAAGTTGTTTAGAACTACCACCAAAAACAACTCCCACCAACACCTGTAACATTTCTAAATTCAGACAAAACTCATGGGCAGCTGTTTGACAGTTATGCCATGTCACTCCAGCATTAGAAGGCATAGAGTAACTTCGGTTGGGTCACTAACTATATTCATACCTTCCTCCCTTATTACTACTCTATCTCCATCTCCCTCTTCCCCTCCTTTCTTCCCCCCACCCCGAACATACACAAACTGTTACTGAACTAGAAGTATGGGCCACATGGGTAAAGTGTCTAGACAAGGATCCAAAAGGGAACAGTATTTGTTACTACCCTCTAGAAGACATGTGCCAGCAATCACTGGCTCCTGAAGTAATTTAAAGTAATACCTTTGATTTTTGTTTCTTCACCCGTTTCTTCTTCTTCTACTTCTTCAACATCATCCAAATCTTGATCAAGTTCAGACTGTTCTTTGCTACAATATCATAGTATCACACCAAGGTTCAAATGTACCAATTACCAAAAAATAAATAAAAAATTATAAAAAACTTCAATTCATTTTCTAGGTTAATATGCCTCTTTCAAAAATATGAAATAGGAAATTCCAAAGGTAATTCAGTTTTCTTTCTAACTTCATATGTAAACAAGCACAAACTGGAAGTACATAAAATTTCATTTAAAAGCACATGGTCAAATATAAAATTTATATTTTAAGCTCTTTTTTCCCCCAAGATTTTATTTTTAAGTAATCTCTAAACCCAATATGGGGCTCAAACTAACAACCCCAAGATCAAGAGTTGCACACTCCACTGACTGAGCCAACAGGGGCCCCTCTATTCCAAGCTTTAAAAATGTGGTTTGACAGTGTTGGTTCCAGGAACGTGAGGTCAGGAAGTATGTGCTCTCTACCCAATATCCACTGCTTTCACTCTTCTTAGTAACAGCACCCTGATTTTATATGAGATGGCAATACACCAAGCTTTTAAAAATCTACATTTCCCAGCCTACCTTTTAGCTAGGTGTGGTTATGTAACTCTGGGCGGTGAGTTAAAAAAGCAAAATGAATAGAATTTTGAGTAAGCCTCCTTTATAGGACAGTAGACAGCTGGGAGGCCTTTTTGATCTTGCTCCCTTCATAGAATAGGGATGTGATGACTAGAGTTCCAAAAGCCATGCTGGACCAGGAGGCATCCTAAAGAATGAAAGTCAACAGAATGAAGGAGTTTGGAAGAACAAGGATCCTGGATCCCTGATGGCTATGGGGCAATCACATCAGCCTGTACTCACTATCTTTGGACTTTCCTCCTTTTTCTTTACTTCATAGTGGAGATGGGCAAAAAGTTAAGAAGACCTGAGTCTACTTCATACTTAAAGCAAAGCCAGGAGGATGGCACCATTGAAAGGAAAAAAGTAGTAAGATAACATTCTCCCCATTTCATCCTGAAAATCTAGTTTTTGCACATGAAATTACAACGAGAATTAAAAAGGAAAATAAGGTTATCTAAGTCAACATATAGGTCTTCATATAATTCCTTGTGTGATTTTACATTTTAGTATTTGGTTTACAGATTTAGTCACATTTATGTTTTAGAAACAGCATCTGAAGTATTAACTTTCATACACAGACAAATACTATCTAATTTTCATATAAGAACAACTACAGAAAAGGTCAACTGTATTCTGCCAGCAAAATTTATGTTCCTGTAAACTAAGGACAAAAAACTCAGCCTTCCCATCAGAAACAATAGATCGTTTCTGAAATTATCTTTGATTTCATATAAACTTAAGCATACTTAGATTTAAGGGCCATTAACTAAAGATCACATAGCACAGCTATTCGTCCAGTGTGATTTTAATCATTTAATGAACATCTACATCTTAAGGCTTTAAAACAGGGGTCCACAGACTATGTCACATAGTCAAATACAGCCCAGTATTTTTGTAAATAAAACTTTATTGGAACACAGCCACGTAAGTTTATGTACTGTCTATGGCTGCTTTCACACTACAACAGCAGAGTTGAGTAACTGCAACAGAGACTATATGGCCCAAAGTGCCTAAAATATTTATAATCAGGTCATTTATACAGAAAGTCTGCTGACTCCTGCTTTAAGGAACAAGAATCCTCCGTCCCTCCCACCCTCCTAGGGCTGACAGCCATCTAAAATTAAATAAGGGGATGGTGGGGAATCAAGCGGTCACAACCAATTTATTCTTTTATTTTTTTTAAGTTTAAAACAAAATGAAGTTGCAAGGTTAAGATGGCAGATTGCACATACTCCTCTGATCTTAATCCTTCCCAAATCTTTACTAAAATTACGATAAAAGGGTTTTTTAAACAGACAAACATTAAAGGACAGGAAGACAAGAGCACAACAGCAACGTCACTGAGAACTGAAATTGAACAGTCGGAAAAGCTGAAAACTAGACCAAACACAGACTCAAAAAGGACACTTCTGGAATTAGGGCTGAGGGGATGAAATTGGAGAAAATAGGGAGGACTAAAGAAAAACTGATAAAGCAGTTAAATCCCCAGATTCTTTCCCTCAATCCAGCAGCACAGCAGTTTCTTCTTTGGAAAGGGTTAAACTAAGAGCTCAGACTGTAAGACCACAGATACAGCCAAGAGTCTCTCAGATATAGGACTGTATCATGCTAGAATGTTGAATGTAGAGACCCTTCCCTGGTCACCTTTTCCCAATTTGGATTCCACAACACTGAAAGCCAGATCTTTACCCAGATACTCTTCCTTGGGGTATCTGACCAGCCCAGAAGAAAACATCATTCTGACAATGGGGATTCTCAAAATAAACAACCACTTTGATGACCTTACATTACAATCTAAATTAAAAGCCTCCCTCCACCCCCACAACACTCAAATTTTCTAATCAACTTTTTTCTTAAACATCTCTCAACTGCATGTTCTCCCCCACCCCAATCTTAGTGAGCAGACAACCAAGTATTACCTCCTATTTGAGAGAATGCTTTTACATGGAAATGAAAACAAATAGGGGAAAGAAAAATTTAAGAGCAAACACACAGGGGAAAAAACATCCAGAGAAAAGATATTACGATCCAGAGAAAAGACATTACAATCAATGAAATAGGAACAAGATGCTATAAAAAACAGGAACAGAGAATAGACACTCCTGAAAACTATACAACAGAAATTTAGAAACTCAATACAAGAGCTGAAAGATAAAATTTCTTCAGCTTTGCCCAAAAAGAAGAGCAAAGAGATAAAGATGGAAAATAAGACAAAAGATAATTAGAAGAACAAGTTCAACATATAACATAATAGGAGGTCCAGAAAGAGAAAACAGAAATAAGACACTCAACAAACTAAGTCCAGAATATTCCCCAGAACTGAAAGCCATCGAGTTGCCAGACTGAAAGGGCCCACCACTGAATGCCTAACACAAGAAATTTAAAAAATACATATAAACAATGTGAAAATTTCAGAACTCTGAAGCCAGAGTGCTTCCAGAAATATTTGTTTAAAACAAGTGTCACATACAATGATCAAGAATTATAATGACTCTGAACTTCAACACAGCAATATTGGAAGCCAGGTGGTAATGGAGCAATGCCTTCAAAATTCTGAAGAAAGAGGATTCCCAAATGAGAATTCTACACTCAACCTATCAAACATAAGGATAGAATTGTCATTTTCAATCATTTATCTCAAAATAATGTTTCCCTTGTACTCTTCCAAGAAAGTATTAAAGAACCAAAAAAGAAAATTACATGGGATACAGCAAATAGCAAACCCAAGAGAAGCAGCAAAAAGGAAACCCCAGGAAGATAATAAAATAGAACCACAATGATAGCTATGATAACCAAGGTTAAGCAATCCAGATTGGAGCAGTAATAAAGGAGGCAATCACTTTGAAAGCCATTATCACTAAAATACCTGCTGCCATTCTTTTTAAGCATGGAATAATTAGCCAAATTCTTATATGTACTTGAATGTGATGCCCTTGTGCTAAATTTTCCTGCCTTCCCACCTCCATGCTCTGCTGCCTACAACTTGTGGATGGTCGTATCGTACCCCTAAATCCATGTCCAAGTGTTGTTTTAACCTAACCCTAAGTTGTGTGAAATCATAAGCAACGAACAATGCAGCTCACCCATTCTCCCTTACCGTATTTCTGCAAAACATCCATCCACACTAGAACCCTGCCAGAAGTCAACTTCATTAAACTGGTGTTTCTAGAGTGTATGACCTTGCCCAATAAATTCTTCAGGAAAGTTGCAATTAGACTGTGACCCAGATAATCTTTTTGTTTCTTTTTTTTCCCTACCTTGGAGACTTCAACTGATAGTGGTAATATTGCTTTTCTTTTTAAACACAGCTAAGTTTGTGACTGCTATTCAGATTTTCAAAATTAAACACTGATTAACAATGTGTAGGTGTTAAAACTCTAAAAAAAAAAAACAAAAGGAATGCTTTAGACAAATGCCAAGACAGTGCTTACACGTCTGGAGAGGAAAGGTGGAGGATGCAATTGAGAAGAGGGACACTGGGCTTCTAAAAGTAATGTTTTACTTTTAAAAACTCATAAATTATAAGTATCCTATTACTCTTTAAACTCTACATATAAATTTCATATACTTTTTATCTTGTATGTGTGATGCCGTAATATGAAGTAGTAATTACCATACATGTATGGTAAAAATGAGTTCTGCAAATATTTGATTCATTACTGTGCTCAGCACATTCCTAAGAATAAACACTGGCAAATGGTTTATTGTATTTAAGACAATGATTATATATACTATATTTTATCTTGGGTACACTGTACCCAACTATTGTAACAGCAGGTACTAAGCATCAGTCTTTACCATACATTTTTATATTATTACTACTATTAATGACATCACAGTACAAAGTGAAGCCAAATCTCTGGGAAAAGAAAAAAACAAACAAAAAAACCAACTATCTAGCACTTACTTGTCAATGTCTGCCATGTTGTAAGAACTCCAAATATCTATGGAGAGAAATGTCAGTGTTAACAAAATATACATATATAATGTATTTAAAACCATTAAAAATATTTGATGCCCAAACCCTTTAAATCAGTACCACATTGAGAATCACCACACGGAGGAATGTATACCCCCATTAAAAACACATCAGTGTTAAGAAGAAAAATCGTGGCACATATATATGGACTTTCATACTAGCCCCCAAAGTAATTTTTCAGAGGATACTGCTAAAAATAAGCAAGTTATTACTAGGCTGTTAGAATCTACCATGTAAGGACATTTTCATAATAGCACTGCTGGTAAAGAATCTGATGTATGCTAGTATCACAGAAAAGGAACAATACAAGAGTTATTCAAACTCCTTTAACAACTACAAATGGTCAACTTTTGCTTAAATTTTTAGACTACTTAGTACCTCACAGAACCCACTTCATTTTTACCAGTATTAATTCTTACCAAATTCATGTTAAAAAGCCAAAATCTGCCACCATTATGTCCCTGGAGATCTTTCCAAAAAGTTTAATAATCCTACCAAATGCCAGTCCTTTAAGCAACTTAGTGACAGTTTTAAAGCTCTGGGTTCCAATCTGTATCAAGTAAACCTTCCCCATCTCTTCAAATGTACCTCATGTCTTATCACTGATAAGGACCACACCCCCAGACTACCCTGGATAAGCTGTTATATTGTCAATAAACTCTTGGTTACCCGACATCAATACTGTTAGAACTGATCTGGAGAATATCCTAAATTCTTTCCCGCTATAGATTAGTATTGACTTAGACAATACTGCTTTTAGAAAAAGAAAACTGAAGGTAAAACGTGTTATATTCAGGCAGGAAAATGACTAATGCCACATGTAATGAATGCATGGACTACCAAAAAAAATAATCTAAATCAAGCTTAGGATCCCACATTAAAATCAAGTTTTTATCTCTTAGTAATTAAAACCACAGACTTTTAATAACTCTCAGAATGCTACAAGATGTGATTCCTCATATCAACATGTTTTATATGATTATTACTTAAATAGTTAAGAAGAGTTACTGATTTCAGCAGTCAAGTGCTAATATGTGGAGTATTATTACTGATCTAACATCCAACCTTTCAACAAACTGTGAAAAAAATATTTCTTCCTAATAATGTAGCCTATTCTACTTTAAATATTTTTTTGCTTTAAATAATTTCTAATAGCACTAATAAATTTCTCTAGTGATGCTGGGTAATTTACAAAATTAACAAAATACTTAAACAATTATGAAGAAATACTTTCAAAAATAAAAATACTGAATCTTAATCATCAAAGAAATCCAAGTAGAATTCTAGTTTGTCTATCAAATCAGCAAGGCTCTTCTTTTAATGCAGGGAAGACGGTGGTGAACATGCATTCTTAAATACGGCTTGTGTTCCTATAAACTATTTTCTCTCTGGAGAGTAATTTGGCCATAGTAATATCAAAAACCTTAAATATGTGTATCTCCAGCTTTAGTTATTCACTTGTGAGGCTCTAACATGAAAAAAAGTATTATGAATCTAAAGGCTGTGCTTTTCATGTTTGCCTAGAAGGTTCTTCCAAAATTCAGTTAACATAACCTTTGGCTCTTAGCTCAAAGTTTTACTTTCTCAGAGAGGCTTCTCCAACCTGTACATTCTGGCTAAATAAGATTTCTTGGTTATACACACCTATAAAGCCCTATTTCTTTCCATCATAAGATGTCTCAAGTTTGTAGTTACAAATTAGTGTGATTATTTGACTAAGATCTATCTTTCCCAACTAATCACAGCACAAGATTCATATTACAGGGATTATATGTGCTTTTGCCAATTGCTGCATTGCATCCTTCAGGGTAATAAATAAAGCTTATATAGAGAGCAGCTAGAGTTACTTATCTCATCAAAAATAAATTCAGTATTAACATGGAATGTGCATACAATGAAATGCTTTGCAGTCAAAAATGAAGCAGATATGAAAAAGCACAGGGCTTATGGCAAAATCCAATTTGGACAGAATACATATATATTCTGCCACATCTTTGCATCCTTCATATACATATATGAACATGCATGCTCATGCACATACTTTACGAATAAGACATTTCTGTACAGATATACCAGAAACCTAACAGTAGTCACCTCTAAGAAAAGACTGGGAGAAATGAGAACTTACATTTCATTCTGCATTATTTGGCTTTCCCATATACAAGTACATTTTGCTAACGTTTTGGAACTTGCTCGGTTGAATACACAGTCTGGTAAGTCCAGCAATTATCAAAAATATAAAACAACCCCCCAAAACTTCTAAAGTCAGATTTTTATAACATTTTAACATGTACTCAGAAGAATGGCTACACTGCTACCTTCCCTGTCCATTTCATGGGGTCACATTTAGAATTCAAACTCTTAAAATTCTTTTGATTCTTTATTAAAGATGATTCAAGACAGAACAGGATGGCATTTACTTCTTCAGAGATACCTTCTCCAATCTGCCCTGCCCACTCTAGCTAAATTAGATTTCTTGGTTATACACACTTCCGTTTTTTAAAGCAGGCCTAATTTTGTAGTCAGATCATTTGGGTTGACACCAGCTTTGTAAAAATCTAGCTCACACAAACAACTTCTGGTCTTATTCACCATCTACAAAAAATACAAAAAAACTGCTTCTTCATTGGATTGCTCTTAAGACGCAAATTCATAAAAAACTTACTTGTGTTTGATAAGTACTGAACATTCTAATAAACAAGCTTTTTAGTTCTGTCTGTTTTTAATTATCTTAGCACAGGGTCAATATTTCTGCAAAATAATTAGCTGAGATGACTGTTAAAATGTATAGACTAACCAGTAAATGTGCCATGGTAACGTTAAGATGTTAACATTAAGGAAAACTGGGTAAGGGGCACATGGGAACTCTCCAGGAGTATCTCTACAACTTTTCTATAAATCTAAAATTACAAATTCATTTAAAAGAGAAAGAGATTAATTCCCATGCCCAGATTCTGAAACAAGAGGTCTGAGAGAGTGGACCCAAAAATCTCCATTCTAAACAAGAAACCCAGCCCCTGAGGCAGGTGGTGCTCAGACAATCAGATCACACTGAGAAAACACAGGTTTCAGTTAATACCTCCCTTAGTTTTCTGTTTTTGTTTTTTACTGCACTCAATGTTAAATAAAATCAATGAGAATTTTTATTTATCAGACATGAAATTGCTTTCTAAGAGATATGAAGAATTTCCATTTCTGGTAGTGACAAGCTAAATTATGCAAACCAACTCTGCATAAAATAATTCCAAGTCCAAAATAAATATTTGCTAAGATCTTAAAAGCAAGGTTTTAACTACCGAGGTAAAATCAAAAGCCCCGGACCTATCCAAGATGGGAAATCTTTATAGCAACCCTCCACATTAAGCAGGAACCCCCAAGTGCTATAGTCTCAGGGATGATAAACCAGTTCTCTTGGACAAATAAACTAGAATCACTTACCACTGTCGGCCCAAAACCTCAAGCCGTGAGCTTAAAGTGGTCTGCCTGATAGTGTTCCTAAGCACCTACATATCCAAATGTGAAAGGCACCTTCATCCTAGACCTCAAATAATTTATACAAGTAGTTTTCAAGAGCAATAAGGGCAACAGAAAAAATACAACAAAAGGGGCGCCTGGGTGGCTCAGTCGTTAAGCGTCTGCCTTTGGCTCAGGTCATGATCCCAGGTTCCTGGGATGGAGCCCTGCATCGGGCTCCCTGCATCGGGCTCCCTGCTCCGCAGGAGGCCTGCTTTTCCCTCTCCCATTCCCCCTGCTTGTGTTCCCTCTCTCGCTATCTCTCTCTGTCAAATAAATAAAATCTTAAAAAAAAAAAAAAAAAAAGAATACAACAAAAACCTGTCCCAAAGACTTAAATATTGTCAAAAGGACTGTAAACTTACAAACATTGACAAATGACAACCATGCTTACTGAGTTTGAAAACACAGTGTCTGCAGAAGCATCTGCAAAGAACAGCCATCTATTAAAGGTGATACAGCAAATTTAGCAAAGAATTAAGTAGAACTTCGAGAAATAAAAATAATGTAAATCAAACAAATGGGCAGGTTTATCAGCAGACTAAACACAGCTGGAAAGATAATTAAGGGAGGGATACAAGCTTAGAAGAAATCTTCCAAAATATGGCAGAGACTAAAGGACAGAAAACACTAATGTTAAAAGATATTTGAGGATACAATAGAGTCTAACAAAGATTCAATACAAGTTCTTGGAGTTAGAGGAGAGAATGCACAAAATATTTGAAAAAAAATCAAAAGCTAAGAATTTTCCAGAACTGATGGAAGATATCCCTACAAATCCCACCAGAACTGATGGAGTCAGCCCTACAAATCCCAACCAGAATAAATAAAAAAGAAACGTACACTTAGATGTATCAGTGAAAAGGCAAGACATTAAAGACAAAGAAGTCACCTCAAAATCACAGAGAAAAGACTCAGGTTAAAGCCACAAAAGACACACACAGCTATCTTCTCTTCAATAGACACCAAAAGACAAGAGAGTCTTCAATGTGCTGAAAATAGCCAAGGATCTCAGAATATTATACCCAATTAAAACATCTTCTAAGAACGAATATGAAACAGGTATTTTCTGGAAAAAACGCCTCCAGCACTCTAATAAATTCTGTTAAGTATATTCTTCAGGCAGAAGGCAAGTGATCCCAAATGGAAGAACTAATTTCCAAGAAAAAATGAGGGGCAAAAAGGGTAACTGCATATATCTAAATAAACATTTTTAAGTATCACCACTGTGTAGTGTGTTAAAAAATTAAAACTACCACAACATTAAGTCAACGGTGAAGGTAAATCAACTAAAGGCTCCCACTAAAGTGTCAGGCAGGATTTAAGAAAATCCAACTACATCCCATTTATAAGAAATATATCTATAACATAAGGACATATAGTTTCCAAGTAAAATATAGCCCTAACCAAAAGAAAGCTGGTATCACTGTATTAACATCAAAAAATTAAGTTTAAGGAAAAGCGTTACTAGAAATAAAAAGGTCACTCTATAATAAAAGAGTGAATTCATTACCCAGTATATGTAATGTGCAGAAGATCTCAATTCAAAGACATGATTCATAATGTGACTGAAGGCAAATCTTAACCTGAGAACTTGTACACAAAAAGAAATCTTCCACTGAAGAAGTGGAAAAAAGTCACTGAATTAAACCACAAACGGATTATATTTTGTGGTCTTGTAGTTAGATGTCCAGACATGTGTTATCAAAAGCTTCCTACCATTCCAGAAAACCTGACTCTGAATAAATTCCCCTGAGGACTAATGAGAAGAAAGCTAACATTTATGAAGCCTACTCAGTAAGGGACCATTATAGGCTTTCCTCCTATCTACAGATAAGATACTAAGCAACTTGCTCAGCAACACACAAAAGGTAAGAACCTAGTAATTAAAATCTGACTTCCAAAACCCATGTGGAGTCCACTATCATCCCAAAAACCAAAGTACCTGTTCTATCAGCCTACTGTTACACAGATTATACAATAATACACTTGTTGATATTCCTTTACATAAAATGACTTCATGGGGAAACAACCAATCATTAAAAATTACAAATGTTTTAAAGCAAGAGTTCAAGGGAACCAATAATAACAAAGATAAGATTTCCGTTTACCTGAGACCTCAAATCTCCCTCCAAATTAAGCAAATCTATTTTTAAGACACTGCTCTTCTATTAATCACGTTTTCAGTGGTCCAGGGGCTCAATGCTTTATTTGGCTCCAACACAACCTCATAGTTAGAATATGCTATTCTTTAGGCTCACTTTTTCAATTCTGGAGTGTCAATAGCCAACTCAGAACTGACTTCTTAGAGTCCCAAGCAAAATGGACTCCTATTTAAGAACACTACATACCTTCTAGTCCAAGGGAGCTCATTATCTAGATTATCATCTGATCCAACAGCACATAAACATACCTGGGTTGGAGTGAAAATCCGGTGAAAATTCACCCAGCAGTAACAAACAAAACCAATTTATTCACATGAGGGGGAGGGGAATTACACACACACACACACACACACACACCAGACAAAAAGCTTAGGAGCCCTCACTCAACTATACGTAAACAAATTCCATATCGGAAGAAGACTCCCTGACCATAAATACTGCTGCTTTTCTTGGAACACAGTGGAACCCAACCAAGTGTGCTTCTGAATTCCAAGCTGACGTACAGCCTAACAGTTTAAATCAAGGGAACTACCGGTGGCTGGAGATAGACACTGGGGAGGGTATGTGCTATGGTGAGCGCTGTGAATTGGGTAAGACTGTTGAATCACAGACCTGTACCTCTGAAACAAATAATACATTATATGTTAAAAAAAAAAAAAAGATAGTAGGAAGGGGAAAATGAAGGGGGGGAATCGGAGGGGAAGACGAACCATGAAAGACCTATGGACTCTTGAGAAACAAACCGAAGGTTCTAGAGGGGAGGGAGGTGGGAGAATGGGCTAGCCTGGTGATGGGTATTAAAGTGGGCACTTACTGAATGGAGCACTGGGTGTTATACTCAAACAATGACTCATGGAAGACTACATCAAAAACTAATGATGTGATGTAAGGTGATTAACGTAACAACATTAAAAAAAAAAAAGTTAATGAAAAAGTTTTCCCAGGGCCACAAAATGTGACTTAAGAGCTACATACCTAAACAATGTAAATTCAGATTTCTTTCACCAGAGGTACAGAGACTTTCAAATCTCCAACATTAAAAAAATGTTTTTAGCATATAGTTAAAAAAAAAATACAAAAGCCTCATCGTAAGTCATCATTGCTCAGTTACTGGAGAAGTCCTTTAACTGCTCTGTATTTCAGTTTCCACACTAAAATGCTGATACTACCTACTTCTAGGAGCATTAAATTAGTTAATAACAGAGTAATTTGTGCTCTTACATTATTTACTCCTGTTGTGTTCTTCTATACCCTCTTTATCTTAGAAAATAAGTCTAATTAATTAAATGTAATTAATAGGCTCTTCAAAATTACAACCCCCTTTTCCCAATAAAAATTAAAAGGTACAAAATTTCTGAACAAAAATGTATCAAACCATGTAGTGTAAAAGGCAGAGTTGGTAACCAAAAGTACAGAGGCCACTTTGGATGGCAAGTGCAGTAATGTGATCTAGTGGTCTGGTATCAATGTACTAAACAACTTACAAGGATGGGTGAAAGCAACAACGCTCACCTTTCTAAACCCTACTCTGCCTAACAAGGACTTCTTATTCAGATGAAATCAGTATGAAATGGCACTTAAAATCACCATTAAACAGGTCCTTCATGTAAAGAATCTTATAAATACTACTCGGTCCCCCGCTTTTTCTTTATAGCATTCACCACAATTTAACATTTTATATCTAGCTAACCAATATGCTTGTTTTGCTCGTTATGTCCAAATAGATGCCAAAATATTTACTCAAAAAATCAAATAAGAACACAAATAATTACAGGTTTGATTAGACTTGAGGATCTGAATGGACTGATCTCGTCAGTTTTGAAAACTGATCAGGATTCATCCTCTCTAATCTTATTTCCATTAACATTTCACATTTACAACCTATCAAAAAATGAGCAAAGACGTAGTATTTGATTTTTGTTTCTTCATCCTTTGAAGTCAAACAGATTTTGCCTCTTTTAGCCCCTTTTCCTACAAAAGGGCTGTTTTTAATATAATTTTGGGGGTTTAGAATCCAGTTAGTAACCTGGAGACAATATGGGCAAGCTGAGTAATAAAATGACCAATAGCATTTTGGATTAAATTAATTCTGGTACAAGTGTTGGGTTTTGGTTGTTTTTTAAATCTCTAAAGGACAAGAACAGTCATATGCCACATTTAGCATTAGCTTCGTATTTTTGTCAATAGGCCCAATATCAAAAATAGGTACTTTGCAACAGATAAAATTTACAGATATTTCAAACTGGTATGAAATTTTTAAAAGTTGTATTTATCAAATTAACGTAACAGTGACCTGATATAATCTATGAAGTCAAGGTTTCATGACCAATGTTTGATTCTATCTATCCTCCAAAGGACCAGTCTTCTTAGAAGTAAATTGCATTTTAGATTTGGACCATTAATTTGAACTCTTAATTTTTTTTAATTTTTATTTAATTTGAACAACTTCCAAAAAGCATGAGACTTATACCAGAAGATCACTGGAAACCTTATTTACCTCAACAATTTAAAACAAGTTATCCTATATAGAAGATTTTCCCCTTATCCAAAGGTAATGTGTATTACTTCCTAAGTACAGAAGTGTTAATGTAGGTTGACAAGAAAATAGGGCTTAAATATTAATTTTAAAAGATATTTTGAGGCTACCTATTTCCAAAAACAGACAATTCCATTTTACAGCTCTTCTGAAACCAGGCAGACAGTGTTAGGAGATTTTAAAGGGCAGTCCTTACAGAACTAGTTACTCATCATTTTTAAGACAGTGATGATTTAATATAGGGGCTCCTTCAGGACGTTACGTGCTGGGTTCATTCTTCTGTACTCTGAAAGCCTACATGTCCCAAATAGGACCGCATTCCCCGGCCCCCTTCCCTGCCTCCTTTTGTGAGTAGTAGGGGCATTGACAAGACAACAGGCTACAAACTTGGCCCATTAAGTGTACATTAATGCCTCATTTCCACCCAGACTTCCTCCACCCAGCCCCATTCATCTTAAAAACAAAACAACTAGTTAAGTAACCTATTCTGGGAACTTCAATAAAGGAACTAATTTTTAAGAATGTGAAAGAAGTCCTAACAGAATTAAAGACATTGCAGGCCAAATCGTTTATTTTCATCTTAGAACCGTTTGCAGGATTAGATTAATTAGGATCAATTCTCCCCAAATAATGAAATCCTGGTCAAGACACCCATCTAAATTCTAACTGTACTGGAGGTACACAAAAAAATCATGTGTTAGTAACAGCTAACAAGACCCCTTTACAAGCGCTAATGCTTTAAAATCCTAGCAGTAAGAGGCCATGCTTAATCACCTATCTCCTAACATTCATCCTTTCCTCTGGTACCAATAAAAAGATTTAAGACCAAAGAGAAGCAGGTAGGAGTTTGAAAGCCAAGGCTAGACTTATTTACTCACTATTAATTTCCAAATCCCACCATCCCTACAACTCTCAGTGAAGCGAGGACAACCCAGACCTCGGTCTCGTCAAGCCCAGGCGGCGGCCACGTGTCTAGGGAAGCCGCCGGGGTTTCCCCTCCCAGCCCGGCGCCGCCTCCAGTGGGCGGAGAGCCCAGGAGCCTCGCAGCCTCCCCGCCCCCTCCAGGCCTCGTCCCTACACATCCCCTCCCTCCCATCGGAATTCGCAGCCTCCGCCGTTCTCTCCATCCCCCAGCGGCCTCCCTCCGGGAATTATTTTTGAGGAAGCGGGGGCGAAAAGGAAGCGGTGGGCTGCGCACTCGAACCCGGCCCGCACCCCGGGCGCCCTAAGGAGACAGCCGCTATGGACCGGGAGGCGAAACCGCGGCCTCCCTCCCGTCCGCGCGGAGAAGCCGGTGGGGCTCAGGGAACCTCGGCGCACACCAGCAGGGCCCCCGGGCCTCGCAGGCCGCACCGACCCCCCGCGTCCCCTCAGCCGTTCCCGAGTAAAGCGCCAGCCAATCCCGGAGGCCCTCTCAGGCTACGGGGACGAAACTCCGCGGACGGCTCAGGCTCCGGCCTCACTGGACGACCCGGGAGGCCCCGGAGGCCAGCGGCCCCCACTCTCATTTCCCCGTCCTTTCCCTCCGCGCAGGCCGCCTGACCGACTCTACGTTCCCCTTTCCCTTTCAGACCCCCATCCGTTACCGGTGGCTAGCACGGGGAGCCAGGCGGTCGGAGCTGCGCAGGCAGTGACTCAGGGCGGCGGCGGGAGGAGCAGGAGGCGGCGCCGCGAGCAGATGGCGCTAAAAAAGACCCGAGAGCCCGCCGCTCGCGCTCATATACAATTAGCGTCAGCACGTAGGGCCCGCTCCGCCGCCCCCCCAGGCCTCGCCGTCTCCTAGCAACGCGAGCGGGAGGCGGGCCCAGGACGGGTTGCCTAGCAACAGAACTGTCCTTCTTCCCCGAAGACCTCCACACCCTCCGCGCAGTGCTTGGGGTCCTAGGGTTCCCGCCTTCGCCCTCTGCTACGCGCCGCGCCATCTCTTTTCTCGCCGCTGCACATGAAAAGAAATCTCTTTTCTCCCCGCTGCACATGAAGGTTCTCGGGAAGCTCCCTGACCCGCTCGCCTCGCCCCTGGCCCACCTCGTCCTCCTCGGCCTGGTGCAGGGAGGCGTGAGGGCGGGGTGGGGCAGCTACCGCTTGTCCCTATCCCGGCCTAATTCCTTCAACTCCCCGGTCCCCGGTAACCATTTTCCCTCCCCGCCCGTATTTTCCCCTAAGAACAACAGTTCTTTCCTCCTGACCACCTTGGCGGCGTCTTCTGCAGGTTTTGCGTCTCCTAACTTGGTGGGTCTCAGGGGCTTCCGGGCTGCCTCCTCATCCCTACCCCTCCATCCTTTTACCTAACGTGCGATCTCTCATTTCTACTTCAGTTCTTTTGATGGATGAAAATGGCAATGTTTGTTTATTCTCTGAGTGCTTTATAATGAGGACACTGTTGTTTCATCTTGCTGAAAAAATAAATTTTATGTAAATCCTCAGGCCTGTGAAACATCATGGCTATTTTTCAACTGATGCTGGATCGACTGATGTTAACTCTTAAAACAGTGGTCCTCAAAGTGTGGTCCCCAGACCCTTTAAAGGGGGAAGTCGAAAGTATTTCCATAAGAATACTAAAACGTTATTTGCCTTTTGCATTCTCATTCTCTCACAAGTGTACAGTGGAGTTTTCCGGAGACTACATGACATGTGATACGGAAACATTGAAAAAGGAAGCAGATAATAAAATCCAGTCATCTGCAGTTAAACCAGACATTAAGGAGATTTGCAAAAACGTAAGACAATGCCACTCTACTTAATTTTTTTTGTTTTGGAAAGTTACTTTTCATATAAAAGATTCTTTTATGTTAATATTTAATTGATTTATTGTTTTTAGATGATTTATTGTTTTAGATACTTTTAAAATTTCTTAATTTCTGATATGATAAATATCAGTACCTAGAATGCACAGGATAGTTCTCTGGTGTCCCTAAGTTTTAGAGTGTAAAGGGGTCTTGAGACCAAAAAGTTTGAGAACCTCTTCTCTACATGCTCATTCCTTTAAATTTCAAACTGCCTGGAGTCATTGTAATGCTCACGTTTAACAACTGTATTCCATTTTAAAGGATCTAGATTTTCTTCTTGCATCCCCAACCTCGTTAAAATTGTTGCCTTTCCCATTCTAAGCTACAGATGCCTCAGTGTACCCACTCATTTTGGTTCTTCATATGTGATTCTTTTGGTTTTTTTTTTTTTAACCTACTGTCTGTATTCGACAATGATGTGAAGTTAACAAGTAATTATAATAATATCAGTAATAACTCCTCATGAAGAATCCACAAGACATAAAGTAGGTAGACCAGTGCCCAAAATGTACATACACTTGGCACTAATTTCAATGGAAACCTCAAGATTATTTTATTCTAATTAAAGCTATGCACAATGCGAGGTAATTAGCATACTAGAAGTGACCTAAATTACTTTCACCTCCTTTCTTTAAATCTTTGCGGTTGTAGAACTTCTGAGATCAAATTGAGAAGTTAGCCTTCATGATGATTTCTGTCCCACTCCAGGAAGCCTCATCAATTTGAGTCACTGGTCTAAGACTCCTAATTTCTGATGCTTCAACCCTCACCCCCATATTTAAGGGCTTATTACCAATTTATATTCTTTCCCCTTTTCCTCAGCCTCCTCCTCCAGCTCCTTCCTCCAGCTTTCTCCTTCCCTTCTTCCAGTGTATCTTAGCCAATCTAAGAAATGAAACACTAGTAAATTGCTAATAATGCATGTCATTTAATATAACCTTTTAAACCATCGTTTGTAAATCTAAAACTCTACCATTTAAGTCAAGGGAAGGTCATTTACACATTCATTTGGGATAGTCCCAAATACATGTTGGGAACAACTTAAGACACTGGAAATACAACATTGAATAAGAAAAACAAGTTTCTTGGTATTACTGAACTTATGTTTTAGTGAGGTAAGTCATGTGACAGACAGTAATGAAATAATTTTTTTTTTAAGATTTTATTTATTTATTTTAGAGAGAACCAGAGCAAGTGGGGGGGTGGCGCATAGGGAGAGGAAGAGGATCTCAAGCAGACTCCACACTGAGCCCAGAGCCTGATGTGGGGCTGAGATCATGACCCGAGCCGAAACCAAGAGTCAGACGCTTAACTGACTGAGCCACCCAGGTGCCCCTGAAATAATTTTAGATATAAATAAGTAAAAGAGCTATGAAGAAAATAAAATGAGACAAAGGGGTAGAAGGTGACTGACCTGAAGATACCATTGAGTTTTTCACATTGATTCCTCTTAGACCCTCAAAACGCATAATGCAGTTAATCAGCTAATTTAATTACAATAAATGGTGGTCCTGGTCACTGATCATGAGCCATGCTAAACATTCAGTTAAAGTTCCTTTTTTCTTCATCTCCCCCCTTATCTTCATTTGGTTGATATTTAAGGCATTGTAGCCTAGTGGTTAAGAAGTGCAGCTTTGGAGTCAAACGGCCCAATTTTCATCCCAATTTTGTTGTGAACGTTTAAACAACATGTAAGTTGCTTAACATGATACCTGACATAGAATTAACACCCAATAAAAGTTAAACATTATAAACTTCTTACTGAGGGTTTGTTTTGTTTTTGTTTTATTTAAAGGTTAAGGGAATTCCCCTGAAGTCTTCTAATAGTATCTGACACTATTTTTGTGAAATATTTTATCAACAGTTATCTTGTCACAAATTTTAAATCATGTTTTCCTGAGCTGAAATAATCCACACCAATTACTACAGAAGTACATTCCACATTTCTAAATATTGGATACAGACACTATAGAAATCAACCAGACAAATCGATGACAGAGATGATTTCTTAAATGTGTTTATGTCTGTATTTCAACCCCTAAGTAGTGGAAAAGTGCATAGGCTTGAAAGTCAGACAGGCATAGATTCATCCCAACATTCTGTGACCTTGCAAAAGTACTTACACAGTCTGACCCTTAATGCTTCTCCATCTGTAAAATGCATTAATAATTCTAATAAAATCAGCTTCTTCATTAGCATGAAATAGAGAAATATATGTAAGTCCCCAGAGCAATGACTTGTACTTTAAGTACTCAATAAATATTTATTTTCACCCATCTCAATTAATCAGCATGTAAAATGTCTAATGGCACCAATAATAATTATCATGTAAAAACTGCACAAGATACATTTAAATAATTGTTATCTTAGTTTTGAATCTGGATAGTTTTATTTTTTCCTTTTTCCCCCAAATTATATAAATGAAACATAAAATCAAAATTCCAGTGGGAAATTTTTGACAAGTTGCCTTAAATTTCTCTCTACATCTAAAAACAGATTAATGGATTTTCATCTGAAAATATCTTTATTTTGCTATCATTTTTAATTGAAATTTATGTTAAAATGATCATAGACTCATACAGTTGTACAAAATAACACAGAAAGATCTGTGTAAATTTTACCCCGTTTACCACAATGGTAACAACAATTCACAATCTTAATTCAAATGCCCCCAGTTTCACTTGGACCCACTTGTGTGTGTGTGTTCAGTTTATACAATGTTAGCATGTGTGTGTGTATCTGTCACCACGGGCAAGATACACAGGCTCCCCTTTTATGTTGTCCTTTGATAATAGTTTTTATTTTCTAATTTGCATGACAAATATGATTCTGCCTTGCCAGATTTTCCTTCTTTTTTCCTGCTTCACAAATAGACAACTTAGGCAGAAAATAGTCCATTCCTTTGTGTGGGTCTTAAATAGCTCTTACCTTAACTATTTGCAATAATAGCTTTGCAATTGGTCTCCCTAATAATGACCTCTTATTCCTCTCTGATCTGTATTGCCAAAGTTATGGTTCTAAATACAAGTCCAGGGATGCCTGGGTGGCTCAGTTGGTTAAGCATCTGCCTTCGTCTCAAGTCATGATCTCAGGGTCCTGGGATCGAGTCCCGCCTTGGGCTCCTTGCTCAGCAAGAAGCCTGCTTCTCCCTCTGCCTGCCACTCCCCCTGCTTGTGCTCTCTCTCTCTCTGACAAATAAAGTCTTAAATAAATAAATAAATAAATTCCAATCAAATCTACTGTCCTAAAACCTGCAATGGCTCTTTGATGTCACATGACAAAATAACGCCTTACAAAGTCCATCTTAATCTGAATTCATCCTATTTTTCTAGCCATACCTCCCACTATCCACTGTCATGAACCCCATATATTTTGACTTTGAACTACTCACCAGGCCCACAACACACCAAGTATTTTTATACCTTCTGCTCCACCCTTCAGCTTTTCTTTCAAAATCAAGCCCAAGTTTTTATCTTTCCTGGAGAATCTTCCCTAACTCACCAAGGCAGATGTGGTTGCATATTCTTGTCTGCTTTCTGAAACATTTAATGTATACATGTGTGTTCCCATGTTTCCTTCTCCCCGAACACACACTACACTGGATTATTAGTTAGTACAGGCAGTGTCCTCGTTTTTGTATACTCCTGGCTTGGATAATGACTAGCAGGGCAAGGACATTCAATAAATATTTGTTTGATAGAATGAAGTGAAAGGAAAGAAGCAAAGAAGAAAGCTAGTGAGGGAGGGAGAAAGGAAAGAAAAAAGTCATTGAAAACAAACTGGAAGTCATAACACTTTATTAAGTGATCCTTTTTTGAAGATAATTGCATCAATTCTACATTTGTCTATGTGAGAAAATTTGACAATCTACTCTATGCAAGAAGATTTTTGGATATGGTTTAGATCTTGTTTGGATATTTGTTTAGATATTATTTTTCCTCATCTGTGAAGCAACTTATTGGTAAAAATAAATATTGAAATCTGAGATCATAATAAATAAGGAAAATAAATTATATGGTATTATGTGGAGACAATTGCAGTGTCCATTATTGGGAGAATAGTGAAATGTGGTGGATGCATATCAGAATATTATGCAGCAGAATGTCAAATGTAATATGGCAACAGGGATAGATCTGTAAAATGCAGTGCTTGCAAAATAAAACCACAATTAGATATTATTACACACCTATTAGAATTGCTCAAATTAAAACAAAACAAAACACCTGGCTGATGGTACAATATATTGGTAAAGATGTAGAACAGCAAGAATTCTCATTCATTGTTGATCTGAATACAAAATGGTACAGTCATTTTGGAAGATAGTTTGGCAGTTCCTTTTAAAGTTAAATATACACTTACTGTATGACCCAGCAGTGTCGCTCCAGGCTATTTACCCAAGTGTACTGGAAAGTTATGTTCACACACACACACACACACAAACACACACACCTGGAGGTGAACATTTATGACAACTTATTCCTAATTACCAAAAACTGTAAGCAATGAAAATATTGTCCACAGGTGAATAGATAAATAAACAATGTACAATGGAATACTACGCAGAAATAAGAAGGAACAAGCTACTAATATACTCAACAACATGGATGAATCTCAAATACATTTTTGCCAAGTGAAAGAAACCATAATCAAAAGGCTATATATTATATAATTTCATTTCTATGACATATGGGAGAGGCAACATTAAAAGGATAGAAGACACATCAGTGCTTGCCAGGGGTTCAGGAGGGGTGAAGACTTGACTCCAAAGGTGCTGCAGAGGAAGAGACTTTTTAGGGTACTAGAACTGTTCTACACTCTATCAGTAGTGAATACTTACAGACTTTATACATTTCTCAGTAGTGAATACTTAGACTTTATACATTTCTCAAAATCATCTATTGTATTCACATTTTAAAAAGTCAACCAGGGGC